CAAAATACAAGCAGCACAATCGAAAATTTTACGAAAAATTGTAACGCTCCTTGGTACATTTCAGATAATACTATACATAACGACTTAAACACCCCAACAGTAAAATCCTACATCCACGACAAATACACTACATTTCATTCTTCAACCCAAAATCACTCCGATCCTGTGGTTGTTTCTATCTTCTACTCCCTGTTATCTGGTGATGCAGATTTAGAAGAAAATGACCAAGAAACCTACTATAACAATAAAAAAAAAATCAAGCAAATACACCAAAACAGTATTCTTTGTTTCTTGGCCAAAAAACAAAGAATAACATACAACTTCCCAGAAAAAAGAAAAAAATAACAAAACAGTATAAATACAACAAATTTGCTAGATCCGCAGGTGCGAATTGTATAGAATATAAATAAATAAAAAAATGTTAATTTATTAGGAATAGATTTTTATTTTATCTCTCAGTATAATTCCTCTTGTGAGCCGGTGCCTGAAGCAAATTAATCCAAATATCCTACAAACTACTAAGTAAAATTCGAATAAATCTGATTTTGTTACCCATAAAATATAATTAACTTTGCTATGGATGGAAAACTAATTTAAATATTCATAGAGAGATATTTTAAAAATACTAAGTAAATAAAACTTGTCATATTGTAAATATTTTTATGAAACTTGATATCTTGTTTATCATATTACAGCTGATCGAAAGGTGGCTTCTTATCTTTCATGATGTTAGTTAAGATTAAAAAGAGATTAATTACAGCACCTTGATGATGATTCAAACATCATTTTGATAATCCTATGGTAATTACTCATTTGCTGAGATAAAATAAAATTTAAGAAACATACAATTGATAAAAGTTAAAAAAAAGTATATAACTAGACTATTGGGAAAAAAATTATCAAATTGAATAATTTAAATAAAAGAAGATAGTTAATCGATACCATAATTTTATAATTTGAAATTATAAAATAACAAATACAATTATATAACATTTAATATTAAAAAATTGAATGAAAAAAGTTAATTACCTGATGCAAGAAATAACTGGTAGAGGAACAATTTCAAGATATTGAAAAAAACAAATTATCTGGAATTGATGGACTGCTTGAAGATTTACCTAAAACAATAAAAAATCATTGTGGGAAACTTGAAAAAAAAAAACATATATATATATATATATATATATATATATATATATATATATATATATATATAATAAAACTGTGTTAGGATCATAATAATCTTAATTAGTGCTTGATCGTTTTCTTTATTTTAATAAACAGTCAAGGAAAGACTGTGGTTATACCTTAATATGACAGGGTCAATTTTTGGTTTATAATCTGCTGGATAACTTACAAATCCTGCCATAGTTACCAATGGCAATTCATATACGATTTGGAAAGAATAGCTTAATAAATAATGTTTAAATAAATAAACAATGGGAATAAAATACACAATCCAACCGTGTGTTGAGAAAGTTACGAAAAATGAAATAATAACTTTAAAAAAATGTATCGTAATATTCCAAGAAAGGCCTCAAAAAGTAGTTTTCTAGTACTTTCTAAGTAGTTTTCTAGCATGATGGGCTAATTCTTCAACCAATCGATGAAAAAATATATGAATTCTATGAAGTTAATTTCTAATGATTAAAGAGTTTCTAATGACTGATCTTGATCTTTTGGGTTCTTAGGTCACTATTGAAAAAGAAAATACTGGAGACAATGATGGTCTCAAATAAAAATGGATTATGGATAGATGTTTAAAATAAATTTATATACTGATTGAAATCATACTAATGAATCATAGACTACTGGTGTCATTTCTTTGATTCATATAATAAAGATATAATCATCTGGTTTGATCTTTACTTATAATGTAATTATTGTGCAGAAATCATCAATGATAATAGGAGTTTTACTTACATTTCTAATTTGAATGGAACTAGAATAAGTAGGAAAATTAACAAGGAACAAAGTAATGCATATTACATATTCAATATAATTCTCATGAAATACAATTTTTACCTTATTATTATAACTTTTATTTTATTTTTGCTAACAGCTTATGATGTTTCAATAAACCTTTTCTTTGTAAATCTTCATTTCTACATATCCATCCAGGGTCAAGATGGAAATACCCAGCACTTACGATCTTGGCTTAGTCTCTTACTTCAGGAAATGAGATCTCCCATCCAACTCCTTTTTAGATGCTTTCTTATGGTCATACATGACTCTGCCATTTCATTTATAACTCTATTGTTATATCTTTGTAGAGAATCATAATAATGGAAATAAAAAGTACTTACTTGTAGATCGATACTTGGTTGTTGTAGGTGGGATGTAAAATTTGTAACTTATCTTATTACTAACATATCCTTTTCCATTTTATTTTCAACAGTTTACTGATTAACCATGTATAGTGATTATTAAAATTTATGGAATTCTTTTAGTTTACTTACTAAAAATAAAAACATTATAGGATAAAACACACACACATATTTATATATTAACATAATTATTTAAATTGGGAGTTAGGTCACTTAATAATTATTTAATAAACTACAAAATGTCCATTGATCCTGCTGTTTATTTGACGTTTCGATTCCGTTTTTTTTTTTAGTTAACTATGGGATTCTCTTTATTGTTTTAAAGACCAGTAACATGATATGATGGTACCAGTAATATGATGGTAGTAAATATAAAAAACTTTAAAGATATTGAGCCATCAATTCATGAATGATTTCTGTATCATGAAAATATTTAATTTTCAGATATCTTATTTCCTTATTTAGATTTATTTTTACATTCACTTACCTTGCTATACTTCATGTTTTGCCTGACATTCATAAGCAATAGACCTTTATTTAAAATATTTCTAGTTTTAAAAATGTGTGATCATCATAGATTTCCTTTAGAAAACCATGGGTGGGAGGGCAGTGAGAAATAAAAATCATGATGAATAATTCTTTATTACTTTATATTTTCTTTTTTACCAACGTTGATTACAGGAGCAGTTCGAGAGAAATAGAAGTGTAGAAGGAATATTCTAATAACCTTATGATCTGATGACATTTAATCCATTTAGCCCTAAAGTGGATCTATGAATCGGAATGACAATTGACATGCCTAAAATAGTAAAAAATCATATACTATATTTTTTATTTCAAATTATTTGTATAATCATCACTTTATAAAGTCAACAATATATGTGTAAATAACACCTGTTTGCATGTTCTTTGATTTTTTTTTTTAAGACAGGAAAGCAGCTTTTAAATATTTCCTGAAACTATGATGCTCTATAATAAAAAAAAATCATGCATTCTTTCTTATTGAATTTTTATATGGTTAACTCATTTATAAGGGAATCTAAAAAACATTAGGTATTTATTATTTCAATACATCATTAATTAATTTATATTAAAAGTATTCTTATAAAATCTCTGCTTTCAGAAGTTAGTTTAGAAAATGAAATTAATATGGGAAAGAGTTGTTGGAATGGTTATAAATGTTATCTATCATTTATTCAAAGTAAATTGTATATAGTGCTATCATGGGGTAGTCTCTCCACATGTGATTACTCTTGATTTGCCCAAATTTACTAGTTGTATTTATTTAGTAAAATTGTTGATGAAAAAGATTGAGTGCTCCTTCACAAAATAACTACTACTTATCCATATAAAATCAGATAATATCAGCTATCTTTATGACTTTTATTTTCTTTTACTTATTAGCAATTTTTTTTTCTTAAATGCTACATTTTTATAATTCATTTATTTCAAAAACCCAACCTATTATTCATCCCAACTTTTCATCAATTCTAATCAATTTTACATAACTACTCCTGTATTACAGATAGATTTAAATATGTCATCTACTGCTTCTGATTATTATCTTTTGTCTAAACTTCATTTCAGTAGCAATTATATTTATGGTAAAATTATATCAAAGGTTTACTATGTCATACAAATGATGTTCAAATCAATATGGTTATTCAATATTGTTTGTGTATGTTTACATTTGTTTATTCTTATTGTTTGTATTACTTAATATTTTGTTATGCTTGTGCTTAGCTTTAGATTGTATTAATCTTAACATAGGAAATGGTTTATATTCATAGAAATTAAGGCTTAAGGTTATTATTTTGTAACCTTAATAAATAAGAAGTGAAGTGGGCCTCACTTCAAAAGAAAATAATAAGATTTTAAAAAAAGACATGCCTACTTCAATTTACTAGGGGAAAAAAGTATGTTTATAAATATTTATAAGAAATGATTCAAGATTTTTTACACAATTTAGTGAATAAAAACACAATAAATACCATTCTGAGTAAATATAAGTGTCTGGTGTCTAAATATTTATAATTAAATAAAAAGAAAAAAAAGTGAAACATTATCAAAGATTTTAATACCTATAACTTAGAGGAGTGCTATAAAACAATATACATAAAAACAAGAAAATGTTATAGTGGTTCATTTGCCTATTGGTTAGAAATAAATTGATCAAATTAGTATTACTAATTTTTGATTAATAAATTAATAAAGGTCAAGCAAGCATAATGAAAAAGAAAAAGTTACTGCACCTAAACTTGTTTTCTTTTTCAACGAGTTGAATTATTTTTAAAAATCTTATTTATTAATAAAATTCATAAAAATATGGTCAAATTATTTAGTTAACTAAATATTATTAGTAAACTATGTTATTTACTTTTTTCTATTTTATTTATCAACTAACAAAAATGAGAAATAAAAATTTACTGATCTGAAACCAATTTAATGTAACTATTGGCTTGTTATTACAGTCATCATTGTTTGAAATACACATATTATTCAAGTTGAAAAAAAAGGTGATAATCAAACCATCAGAAAACAAATAATTAAATATAATAAGTATAATATTTACAGCAAATTGATAAATATTTAAAAACACAAACAGCTACATGTAAATAATTAACAAATCACATTTATATTTTGTGCTCAACAAGATCACAATTGAGGTTAGTATTAAACAGTCTTCATGTCACTAGCTCGAGTATCAATACTATTTAGTTCTTGCACTGCTGGAACATAAACTAATTCAGTACCATTAGGTCGTTGATTAATCCCCTCATTATGGTTCTGTGTCTCGGTCAAATTAGAGAATCTGACATTCAAAAGAATAGCACTGTTTTGTCCATCAGCATATTCAGCAATGCCAGCCACTGGCATTTTCTCATTGCGTTTCAAATGAAGATAATCTTGGTACAGATTGATCACTGAAACAGTACACAGTACAGCGAAACCTCCAATAATGACAAAAATAACAGGTTTGAACCATCGAAAAATGCCAAAGCCTATGAAGCAGAATGTAGTAGCTTCCATGAATTGTAATTCATCTTCTGATTTCGGCCGAAAAATCGTCTCAGGCAAATAGGAATCGGTGGCTGCTAAAAAAACGAAGAAAATCATAAAGAGAAAATATACCATGAAATTTTCCAACTCCATGTTTATCAGATCAAGAAAAAATGTTTTACACATTATTTGAACCATTTCTGGGGGTTCTGCATTGACATGATCTATGGATTTTTGAATTCTTGATGGAACTATGGGGTAGGATGACCAACGATAGAAGCATAAGATGCCTATAAGGACCAGCAAGCTTGCCATGAAATCTGCTATTACCTGAGGAAATCCGCTGTTATGACCAGAAGGTTGTATGTACCGGCCTAAGACTTCCAGATCTGAAGAGTACTTGACACAGAGGTCATAGTTGAGGACGGAGGCGGCGATGAGGAGGAGTACACTGATTGTCAACAAGACGGCGGCCATCGAGAGGTGGTGCTTCTTCGTCGGGAACATCCTCTGCACGACTCGAGTCCTCCCTCCCTTCGACTGGCTGCCTCTTCCGGTCCGCCAGGAGGTGGCGCTATCGGCAGGTGGCTCCGGTACTACCTTTATTGGATCATCGAGGAAATTCATTGTGTACCAAAACGTAACACAACCAGATCAAAAAAATATTAAAATCTCAATAAAGACTCAGTTATCAATGAAATGAATTACGTAACCCACCTCAGGTTTTATATTATCGAGATAAAGCACGTCAAGCCTCAACCATTTTTACAAATGTTTCGATACTAAACAGGAAATAAGATCCCGTTGATTAGTTCAGAAGAACAAAATACATTCTAGTAAACTTCTAGGAAGGTTAAATTTCAGGAGAAATAACAGTAAGTATTTCTACTATGTATAACCTTTATCTGACTTTGAAAGGTTATTTTTCAAAATATTTTAACGGTTTTGACTCTAGCGTTTACTATACTACCGTTTCCTTTTTTCTTTTTTTACTGCGTATATACAGGTGGCCTCATATCAAATACGGAAATCTATCATTTTAAAAACGTTGAGAAAAAGCTATTTTTTGGCATGGAAACATAGCTTCAATCACTGGCGTATCCAGGATTTAATTTAGGGGGCTTCAGCCCGAAAGCTTCTTTTTTCATATATATATTTATATGATGATATAAATTTATTCAAAATTAAAAATAAATTTTGGACTATTTGTATTACTGATAGTTGTTAAATAATATGTGTCTGATAAGGATGTATTTGAATTGTAAAAATTAAATTAAAATTAGTTTTGCAGGATCTTGAAAATGGCTCCTGAAGCCGAAACGTTGAATAAAGAATACAGGAGGTAAAAAACTGTGAATATTTGGTGACCTTTGCCCTAATATATATATATATATAACGATAATAATTTGAAAAAACAAGAACGAAATTAATATATGAAATGGTGTTTAAATAGTTCTTGAAGTCCTATTAAATGTAATTACACGTACAAGAATTCTTTAAGAGATAGTTTTTAATATTTTTTTTCTGAAAATATGATTACATTTTACCACTTTGGTGGGAGCTTCAGCCCGATATCCCCCCTCCCTCCTTAGATCCGCCAGTTGCTTCAATTAAAGCCAAATTTTTTATTTTTTTTTGTGAATCAACTTGAAAATTCTTCAAAAACAGTTTGTATTAATACATTAAAAACAGAGATTGGATTTTTCTCCACTTCCTTAAAATTACCGACGTTCGTCTTTGATCCACTCATACATTTCTATATCCATTAGCAGGGATATATGAAACGTTTATTTCAAAGTCAACCCTAATGAATATTGACAATTATTCGAGAAACGCGAAAAAATATGTTTTCATATATTCGTTTTGAATATATAGGTTCGTTTTTGAAAAAAAAAAAAAAAATTCACCATCGGATTCATTGGGTTTTTTTACATAAGAATCAATATTTCATTTTTTTTTTAAATCAATTAGGGTTCACCTTGCAAACAAAAGAATCATATATTTATATAAATAAATAAAATCCAACATGCAAACCAAAGAACAACTTAATAAACCATTTAATCTACCGAAGTAACTTAAAAATCCAAAAAGGACTTGATGATACCATTTCGAAAAGTTTACAGCGAAAACGGGTTCATTAATCGTACACACTGACAACTATTATGATTTAGATAAAGTTGAGAAAGTTATTAAAAACTCTGATAAAGTATATCAGAAATTATCTATAAGAAATTCAAGGGTTAAGGCAAATGTACCGCTGATAGAAGATTTAAAAGAAATTTTTATTAATAGTGTGAACCACAGCTTTAGTTCTGATGGCTGATTTTAGAAAATACGTTTAATTGTCCACAAATTTAGTCTTTTATAGAATTTTGTTTTTTTTATACATTCAATTAGTTAATTATTCAAAAACGTCGGACATTCTAACAGCGTATATTGTACCAGTATTAGACACTCAGGTTTGATGTCAACACATTTTTTTAGACAATGAAAGAAAACAAAAATAAATTGTGCACCATTTTAATCTAAGAAATGGCAAATTGCACATGAATGAATCAAAATTTCTAACTTATAACTGATAAGCAAACCTCCCAAAAACAAATTCTCAGCCTTGCTCTATTAAAAAATGAATTGCCGTTCGGCTATTGTGGCATAATGTCACTTAAGGTTCAAACATCACCCTCCTAAGAGTCTTGCTGCAAATTTTCCAACATTTGCGCTCTCTGCAGGGTGAATGAAAGGTATTTGTTGAAAAAATAAAAATGAGTTAAAAATATTCTTTTACTAGAACTATGTCTATTACTGATCCATAATAATTAAAAATGTGAAACCTGAAATAACCTTAACAAACATAGTGGACTATTTACTGACTCAAAATTATGGGAAAAAAAAATAAAATGTTCGTATAGTTATAATTATTACTAATAGGCGAGGTGTTTTTTGACACGTCGTTCTAAAAGTAGATGCAGATACTAGAACTTTTTTTTTTACAGTGGTATCAGTTTGGTATCAGTTAAGGTCCACGTGGAAAGACTATTTCCGCATTGAAAAATACTGCCGTAGCGAAGTCGTCTGTTCAAAATGCGTAGAATGCACCTCTCAAAATTTGCAAAAGTGTATTAACTGTGAGAACAAAAAACAAAAAAACAAAAAAGAGAATGAACATTCCGATTAGAATAAGCTACTCGTTAGATAAAAACTACTATTCCTACATAATAGAGTTGCAAAAACTGATAGAAAATATTTACTGTGTACTATATCACTAACGTACGTACATAATTTTATCATATTAAATATATAATAATATCGTCGGCACCATGTATAAGTAACGAATGTACAACGTAAAACAGGCTCAAATTCGTTACTTCTACAAGGTGCCGACGATATATTGACATAAAACTCAGTTTTGTTTTTATTTTAATAACATATTTATTTTTAAAAGATTATGAGACAATTAAAATAAACTACAGCATTCTTATAACTCTACACAATAAAGAACAATGTTCATGTTAATACAAGAACCATGCACGGGTAATAATAAGATTGTAGGTTATAATTACCATGGATATCAAACATATGATCGCAAGCCTAGAGCTGGTGTTGTAACTTTATATAGAGATATTGACGATTGTCTTATCACTCAATGTTCAATTGCTGACTTGGCATTCATTGTAAATAACACATGGGATAATAAAATATTATATCATCAGTGCATATTTTGACATCAGCAGAGACCTGAATATTGATAAACAAAATTTTTAGATGATTTTAGTAAAACTAAAAATTGAAAAAAAATATTATTGGGATGGATTCTAATAACCGATCCAAGTTTTAGTTCGACAGACTTAGGAACAATATTAGATGCTTTATACTTATTAGAATGTTAAACCAACGAAATAGTAACAACATTTAACTGAGAGAAACAGGAAAAACTAATTACTTTGATACGAAACACAAAAGAAACGCTTCGAGCAAACGTAAAGGAAGAATGAATTTGCAAACACTTTTAACTGATAAGGGGAGATATACAAATGATCCAAAATAAACAATAACTTCCTCAATAATTTAATTCAAGTCGATAATACTAGCAATGATACTGCAGAAAAGAGCCAAAAGAGACGTGACAAAAGTGTTCCACCGAACTAGGTTGGCGATTTACCTCTTGAAGACGAAGGAATAATAGATATCGTCATAATAGTTTAAATAACAAGAAATCTTCTGGTCAAGATAAAATTATCTTAATTTTAGTAAAAAAGATTTTTCCCCTTTTCGAATTTTTTTTTTCATAATTAAGGCAAAAAAACTTCCAATTTCCTTCAATTCCCTTTATTCACATTTATCACCTCTATCGTTTCGGGACATTTTTCCCATCATCAGAGCAATCCTTATATTCACTGAAACTATGCACATTTTTAAATATACTATTTTTACAGCACTATACAAATTGTACAATTATTTACCTTAGTTATTTGATGTGGCAGTGAATATAAGGATTGCTCTGATGATGGGAAAATTGTCCTGAAACGTTAGAGGTGATAAATGTGAATAAAGGGAATTGAAGGAAATTGGAAGTTTGTTTGCCTTAATTATCAAAAAATTAGGCGTAGGCTTATAAACATAGGCTTCCTAAAAAAAGAAAAATAAGAGGAATTTTTTTTATATCATTAATTAGAGACATATTTTATTTAATAGAAGATAATTCACACATTATTAGTAAAATGGCTAAATTAATACTGAACCCAAAAAAGTATTTAAGTTCAAGTAGGTTTCCACTATGATAGAGAAACTGCCTACGGCTCTCAAACCTCTACGTAATTTTTTTATAGATGTTTAAAACAATAATAATTATCTTGAATAAAAAAATAAAAAAATTCAGGGCGCCCTTACAACCAAACGTATTAAAAACATTTTTTATTGCTCACAATATTAAATTTTTAGTGTAAAATTTTTTTGCGTTATGTTCCTATTTTCTAAACGGTATCTGCATTAGCAGGATTTGTAGGTTCATATCTCAAACTTACCAGCGACGGAAGAAAATATAATATTCAAATTTCTAAGACAGTTATTTGGATTCTAGATTGCTTATACTTATTTTCTTGATCCATCATGGAAGGGGTCCAAAACTCTAATTAACAGATTTTGGCAGGCAATTTATTTTTCATGATTCGTCCCACTTAACAATAATGTTTTGACGACTTCGTTCAGTTTTAAATATTTTTGTTAGTGTCCCTAAAATGACAACAAAAACATAAATTTGTAATGTTTCTAAATTAAAACTAATTTATATCAGAACAAAAAACAGTAAAGGCTTACCTAAATTACAGTCAATCATATTTGAAGGTTATCATTTAAAAATATTGTCACATTTGAAATATGTCGTAAAAGTTAGCAGCAGCATTTTCTAAACTGTTTTAAGGCACGAAAAGAAACGGTCTGAGAGTGTTGATTGCTTAGATCCTCAACTAAAGCTTATAATACCCAGGAATTAAACTTGACTACTATCTCTAAAACGTTTGATATATGTTATATAAAAAAATGGACATTTTTTCTCGTTTAATCTATGTTAAATTGCCTATATGATCGTGATATATCGTTGGTTATTATAAAAGTCACAAACAAGTACTATA